TTTAAAATTTTTAGAAGGGCAAAAAAATTCAAAAGTGACATTTTTGTCAAATTATTAAAATGTGACATTTCTGTAAATACTAATTCAAAAAGTGACATGAGGTGCAATTTCTTCTAAATTATTTATGGTCCACGTGCATTTTTAATTAATTTGCCAACCTACTTCACTCTCTGGCACATGCCCGGCCGGGGGGGTGGGGGTGGGGGTGGGGTTAGCTTTTTCTCTACTTATTTTTGGAGTGAACTTGAAAAGCATTACTTGTCAAGCTCGTTCAAGGGAGCAAGAACCTCCAATTTTTTTTATGTGAATCAAAATATGGCAGAAAGATTCTGTGTTTATTTCATTTCAGAATACATAGTAACTTCAAGAATAGGAATGCAGAACCCAACGTTCACAAATTGGTTTTAACTATCCGACAAACTAGGCTAGACTTATTCAATAACTAGCACACTTAAATAAAAAAGGAAAATTACTAACTTAAGAAAATAAAAATCCTATCAACTTCCTTTCCCTTAAATTTTAGCCTTGTCCTAAAGGCTAATAGATTGGAAACTGATTTTTAAGGATTTTGTGACTTCCGGTTGCTTCCATTGGTGATGAACCTTGCCAATCTACTAAAACCTAGTGTCTCTTACCCTTCATTCGTCTGTCCAGAATTACTTGTTGCAGAGGAATTAATTTATCTTCAACCTGATCCATTATAGGAAGCTGTGTTAGGAGTATTTGATAACCAATTTTCTTAATTAATAATGAAACATGGAAGGAACACTGGATGCAATTTTGAGGACTCAGGCAATTCCAGCTCATAAGCCACCTTACTAATCCTTCGTAGTTCCTTGAAAGGATAGTAGAATTTTATAGAGAGTTTTCGATCTTGTCTATTGGCTAATGATAATTGTCTACAAGGCTGAAGTTTAGGAAATACTAATCAATTTATGAAATTCCCTCTCCCGATGCTTTAAATCATATATCATTTTCATTCTTGTTTGTGCCTATTTGATGTTGTCTTGAGTAACTTGAATAATAGCTTGGTCATGACTACTGGTACTCTTGCTGTACCAGGGATACAAGACAAAAGAGAACGAGGAGTTCTTCGATATACCACTTTAAAGGAAGTGCTTTTGACATATGAGTGCCAACTTGTGTTGTAGCAAAACTCTGCCTATCTAAGCCATTTAGTCCACTTCTTGGGTTGTGAGCTTTTGAAGCACCTCAAATCCATTTCTAATGTTATGTTTACCACTTTAGTTTGGCAATCTGTTTGATGGTGGTAACGAGAACTGAAGTTGAAATGTGTCCCCTGAAGACGAAATGGTATCTTGCCAAAATAAACCGGTGAACACTGAATCTCAATCACAAGCAATGGAATGAGGCATACCATGCAACTTGAAAATATTATCAAAAAATATTCTGGTACCTTCAATAGCCGTATATTGATGAGACAGAACAATGAAATGGGAAAATTAGAAAAGGGTCAATTACAACAAAAATAGTTCATTTACCATTAGAGGGTGAGAGTCCATCAATGAAATCCATAGATGTCTACCCAAACTTACTTCGGAATTGGAAAAGGTTGAAGAAGTCCTACTGGTGCCATATGTTCTACTTTATTTCTTTGGCATGTGTCATAATTTTTTATACAGTCATTAATACCTTACCTCATACCAACCCAGTAAAAATTCAGATGAGCTCATTACGAAGTCTTGACAAATCCTTCATATGTACTACCATGAAACTGATCAAGTAGTGTAGGAATCAGAGGTGCTCGTGTGAAAGCCACAAGCGTACGGGATCATTGAGAAATAATAATAAAGTGAGTGTGAGTTATTGCCCACGAGAAATAATTTTAATTCTAGTACACTAGTTGCTACTAAGACAATATTTTGTTGTTATTTAAACTAATTCTAAACTAAGGAAGCAATAAAAATGTTTTGTCAAATATGTGAATGATTGTGTTGGATTTCGAATCCCCTATTACCATTTATTTTAATTCTTGATTCGTAATATAGTCAGTTTCATACTTTAGTGACAATAGATAACACTACTGCATTTAATTCTCTTTTCCAAGACAAATTAAGTATATTCTAATCACGATCCGATTCTATTCCTAGATGGAATTCATATGACCAAAATGCATTAAATTATAAATTATAGGTTATCTATGTGATTACATATGTGATAAAGATTATTCCTATTTCTATCTACATATATTAATTTTTTTCGCATTCTAAACTTATTATAAGTCTTCCAACACTACAACAAGTAACTAATTATTCAATTGATGACCAATCAATTAAATAATGCAATGGATATATAAAATCAATCAAGAAAATCAAAAAATAACTAAATTAATGTTCTTATATCAAAACAAATATGCAACAGGGTTCATTATTCACCCGATACAATAGAAAAATTATCTTAACATTCTAATGATTAAATTATACAAGAAATATTGAAAAAACATCACCCGAAAAGAAGAAATAATGAAGAAAGTGAAGAAATCCAATTTTTTGGCCTGAATCTTGAAAATGGATGAATATTCTTCAATAAACTTGTATAATCTGTCTTGATCTTGATACTTAGCCTTGTTCTTCATCTACAAAATCTATAGAAGAGATTTTTAGGTTTTTATGGAGGTTTTTCACATTTTGGATGCGTTTAGGTATATATATGATGTTAAGATATTGCCCTTGTTTGAGCTCCATTTTTTCCAAAAAAATACATTCTTAAACAGTGTTTTGACATTATTTCAACCACACATTCTTCAATAAAATAATATTACACGTAAATCCAAAACTTTTTCTTTTTTTAACCACACATTTCCCATCAATATACTATTCAAAAATTTATTTTCTCTACCAAAATGGGGCTCAAACAAGGACATTGTTTTCATGTAGAATTTCATCAAAATAAGGAAATTGGCTTTCATATAAAATTTGGCCCCCAGAGCGCGCACGCACCATTCAATGATTTTTTTCTCGGTAAATGCATATCAAGGTCGAGGAATTAGTGGCCAACAGCCAGTTTTCCAAAATGGCCTTTGACAAGTGAAAAAAAAAGGCAAAACTATTTAAAACAGTGAAAACCAAAAAAAATGAAGACAAACCCAATTTTACCCCTCACTGCAAGGAAAAGGAAGCAGAAGCCGAGAAGGAAAAGAATTGTAGCACAGTCAACCCAATCACCGACAAATAAGAAAAAAACAGGAGACCCAGTTGGCCATTTCCTTCTGAAGAAGGTAAGAAATTTATACAAAAAAAAATCATGTTTATATTTTTATTTTTGGAAAAAAGTATGATTTTATATATATTTGTTGAGAAATCCTTGTGTAAATGTGGAATTTGGATTGTTATTGCTTGGGAAGGAGTGGAAATCGTCGGAAATGGAGTTTTCCGGTGATCTCCTCGGCCGAAAATGGATGCCAGAGAGCTGGGCACGCCGTCCGGGCGCGCCCAGCAGACCCAGACGCCCAGTTTGTGCCCAGGTGGCCCAGTCAACTGGGTTGCCCAGTTGACTGGGCCGGCCGTTATTTTGGGCCGTGGGTTTTTTTTCCTGTAATTATTGAAATTAATTAAATAATTATTAATGACTTTATATTGTGTTCTCTAATATGTAATTATTTATTTGAATTGCTTAATTTGAATGTATATCATGTATTTAAAATTATTAGTAAATATAAGATGTAAATGTTATATTATTTATCGAAATATTTATTAGTTGCTAATTTAGATTAATTAATTATTTTATATTAAGTAATAGTAAAAAAAATTAAAAGAAATAATATAATATTAAATAATTAATACATCTAAAGAATTTAAAATAATAAAAATAAGCAATTAAATTTCAAAAGTTAATTAGCAAAAAAATTAATTTTTTGAAAAGCAATTAAAATAAATTTGTAAATATGAAATAAGCATTATGCCTAAAGAATTAAAATTAGTATTTAAACATTCATTAAAATTAAAAAACTAAATTAAGTGTTAGAAAAATAATTAAAATATTAAAATAAGCCTTTAAAAATAAGTGTTACTGAATTAATTTTAAAAAATGAAATATTAAATAAGATATATATAAAGAATTAAAATACATAATTAAACATTTGTAAATAATTAAAATAAGTTTTAAAACTTCATTAAAAATAAATAACTAAATTAACTGTTAGAA